TCCATAGAAAAACAATCTAGAAATTCAGTTGGAAGAAGAAAAGACACAGAGTAGTTAAAGCAATCTTGAGCCAAACAAAACAAAACAAAACAAAACAAAAAAACAAGGCTGGAGGTATCACAATACTACAGAGCTATAGTGACTAAAACTGCATGGTACTAGAATAAAAAACAGACACAAAAACCAATGGATCAGAATAGAAGACACAGAGACAAACTCACAAAGAAACAGACATTTGATCCTTGACAAAAGTGACAAAGTAGATGTTGGAGAAAAGGCAGTCCTTTTAACAAATGGTCCTAGAAAAACTGGTTGTGCACATGTAGAAAAATGGGACTAGATCCTTATCTCTCACACTGCACAAAAGTCAAATTGAAATTAATCAAAGACCTAGGATTTATATCAGAAACTATGCAACTCCTAAGTGAAAATGTAGAGTCAACACTCCAACATATACGTACTGATTTTAGTTCTGGCTGTATTAATTTACAATCCCACCAACAATGTCAAAGTGTTCCTTTTTGCCCTTATCCTCTCCAGCATTTATTATTGTTGGTATTCTTGACAGCTGCTATTCTAACTGGAGTAAGATGAAATCTCAGGCTATACCACTCCTTGGATTTTACCCTAACGACTTCCTCAACAGAATTCCTACATTTCTAGAAATAATGACAGGAGTTAATAAATGTGTTGGCATCAAATTAAAAAGCTTCTGCATAGCAAAGGAAACAATGAAGAATGTGAAGAAAAACACAGAATGGAAGAAAATCTTCACCAGATACTCTTCTGACAGAGGATGATATTCAGAATATATATATTTATTTATTCAGACTATTCAAAACAACTTACCACCCAAACCCCCAAGTAACCCAATTAATAAAATGGGCAAATGAACTAAACAGACACTTCTCAAAAGAAGAAATATGAATGGCCAACAAATATATGAAGAAATGTCCAACATCTTTAGCAATTAAGGAAATACAAATCAAAACTACACTGAGATTTCATCTTACTCCAGTTAGAATAGCAGCTGTCAAGAAAACCAACAATAATAAATGCTGGAGAGGATAAGGGCAAAAAGGAACACTTTGACATTGTTGGTGGGATTGTAAATTAATACAGCCAGAACTGAAATCAGTATGGAGATTTCTCAAAACACAAGGAATGGAGCCACCATTTAATCCAGCTATACCACTCCTTGGATTTTACCCTAAAGAATTAAAGTCATCATACTATAGTGATAAAGGCATATCTATAGTTTATAGCAGCACAATTCACAATAGCCAAATTATGGAACAAGCCTAGGTGTCTGTTGGTGGATGAATGGATAAAGAAAAATGTGGTATATATATATATATATATATATATATATATATATATATATATTTATGTACACACATATATATACATATATGTATATAAGTATATATATATATATATATACACACACACACACACACAACAGAGTTTTATTTATCCATAAAGAAGAATGAAATTATGTCATTTGCAGGAAAATGGATAGAATTTGAGAATACTATGTTAAACAAAATAAACCAAAGTCAGAAAGTCAAGGGTTGTATGTTTTCTCTCATATGTGGAAGCTAGAGAGTATAAAAGAAAAGAAGGGAGGGGGGAATCTCATGGAAAGTGAAGGAGAACTAGTAGAGGAAAGAACCAGGGGTAGGGAAGAGAAGAGGGAAAGGGGAAATACTGAGGAACAATATTGATCAAATTATATTGTTATATCATGTAAATGCATGAGTGTGTAACAACACACCATTAAGTATAATTATAGTGCATCAATAAAAATTATGGAAAGAAAAAAAAGGAAAAGAAAATACATCTCAGGGACACTTTGATTTGCAGCTTATGAGACTCTGAGCCAGGAAACTGGCTCTGCTATGCTTGGACTTCTGATCTCTAGAATCTGTGCAATAATAAATGTGAAATGTTTTTTAAAAAGCATTAAATACCTATAAATAAGACTATTAAAAGTCATGAAAAACATTTATGTCAGTAATTCATATACTGAGAAAATTTAAAGAAGACCCAAATAAATGAAAGGATCAAGGATTATAAATACTCATTTTAAAGAACCTCTCCCCAAATAATCTGATTGAATGCAATCCCAATATAAAATCTCACTAGTGTGTGCTTGTGTTTATGTTTGTGTAACTTGGCAAATAATTCTAAAAACTGATAAGGAAATGCATAGGCCCAAGAATATCCAAGATATTTTTGAAGAAGAATAGGGTGATATTAAGACTGTTCCAGTGCACACTAATTAAGATAGTCTTGTTGTGAAACAGGAATATCAACAAATATTCTATATATGAGACAAATAAAGAACAGTGGGGAAGGTATGATTTTTTTTGGGGGGGGGTTACCAGGGATTGAACTCAGGAACACTCCGGCCACTGAGCCACATGCTCAGCTTTATTTTGTATTTTATTTAGAGACAGGGTCTCACTGAATTGCTTAGTGCTTCGCTTTTGCTGAGGCTGGCTTTGAACTGTAATCCTTTTGCCTCAGCCTCTGGAGCTACTGGGATTACAGGTGTGTGCCACCGTGCCCAGCTGGAAGGTATAGTTTTTATTCTAAAAGGCACTTGGGTCAACTAGACATCTGTTGGAAGAAAATGAAACTTGGCCCCCACCTCTGCCCTACCAAAAAATCAATTCCAAATAGATTGTGAATATAAATGAGAAAGGCAACAAACAAGCAAACGAAAACAACCCTCTCCATTAAAAAAACACACAAATAAAATAAAGAATTAATAAATGGGATAAACTTAAACTAAAAAGCTTCTTCTCTGCGAAAGAAACTATGAGGTGAACAGAGAGCCTATATTTTGAGAGCAAATTTTTGTTTAACACACATCAGATAGAGCACTAATCTCCAGGATATATAAAGAACTCAAAAAACTTAACACCAGAAAACAAACAACACAATCAATAAATGGACTAAGGAGCTGAAAAGACACTTCTCAGAAGAAGATATACAGTCAATCAACAAATACATGAAAAAACGTTCAACATCTCTAGCAATTAAAGAAATGCAAATCAAAACTACTCTAAGATTTCATCTCATGCCAGTCAAAATGGCAGCTATCAAGAATACAGACAACAATAAATGTTGGGGAAAAGGCAAACTCATACATTGCTGGTGGGACTGCAAATTGGTGCAACCAATCTGGAAAGCATATGGAGATTCCTTAGAAAACTTGGAATGGAACCACCATTTGACCCAGCTATCTCACTCCTTGGTCTATACCCAAAGGACTTAAAATCAGCATACTATAGTGACACAGCTACATCAATGTTCATAGCAGCTCAATTCACAATAGCTAAACTGTAGAAGCAACCTAGATGCCCTTCAGTAGATGAATGGATAAAGAAACTGTGGTCTATATATACACAATGGAATATTACTCAGCAATACAAGAGAACAAAATTATGGCATTTGCAAGTAAATGGATGCAGTTGGAGAATATCATGTTAAGTAAAGTAAGCCAATCCCCCAAAACCAAAGGCCGAAATGTTCTCTCTGATAAGTGGATGCTGATCCATAATAGGGAGGGGGGAGGCATGGGAAAAATGGAGGAACTTTGAATGGGCAAAGGGGAGGGAAGGTAGGGAGTTTCCATGGGGGCAGGAAAGATGGAGGAATGAGATGGACATCATTACCCTAGGTACATGTATGACTGCACATATGATGTGATGCTACATCGTGTACAACCATAGAAATGTAAAGTTATGATGCAGTTGTGTACATTCTGCTGTCATATATACCTAATTAAAATAAATAAAATTTTAAAAGTTTACTTATATTCAAACACACACACACACATTCTCTCCCTCCCTCCCTCTCTCTCTTTCACACACACACACACACACACACACACAAATAACTTCTACAACCATATAGTCAGGAGTGGGGAGTGAATTCTCACAAGTCACCAGAAGTACTAATTGTAAAGACAAAGAATATTAAATTTGACTATATTAAAATTAAAGAGAATCTGTTCGTTAAAAGAGATATTTAAGAGCTAGAAAAGAAGACTGTGGGAAGATACATGCAACAAACAATCACAAGGAGCTCATAACCAGTAGATGTAGAAAACGGTCTCAAATAGTAAAAAAATAAGTATTTCCAAATGTCTAATAAACAAATTAAAAGGTATGCAATTAATTGCCTTAGTAATCAGGAAAAGGCAAAATGAAACTTACCAAAACAGCTAATGCTAAAAACACTGACAATAGTAGGCATTGGTAAGGATAGAAAAACAACTGAAACTCTTATACACTGTTGGTGGAAGTGCAATCAGTCAGTTTAGAGAATTGTTTGAAACAATCTATTTAAGCTAAGCAAACACATATCTCACAATCTAGCAATTGCTCTTCAAGGTGAATGAATACTCAAGAGAATGTGTCACTGAGACATACAAGAATGTCCATAGCAAAAAAGTTTTTTTTTTTGTAATAGCTGCAAGTTGTAAACAATCTGCATGTCCATTAAAATATAACGGATAAATCATAATATTCCATACAATGAATACCATACAACAATGAAAATGAATGAAGGATAGCTACACACAAATGATGGATCAATCTCACAGACATGATTTTGAGCAAAAGGAACAAGATACAAATGAATATATGCTATATATGGTTCCCTTTATGTACAGTGAAAAACTGACAAATCTAAACAGAAGTGTTTCATGATTCATGGTTAGCAGTAAAAATATAAAGAAAAGTGAGGAAGCTATTATTATAAATATCACATGAACAATTACTTTGTGGGGAGTAAGAATTGTGAGGGAAGGAAAAGGGGCTTCCGGGAGGGTGGCAATGTTCTATCTTTTAAATACTTGAATGTAAACAGAAGTATGTTTACTGCATGAAAATTCAGAGTTGTATATTTTTTGTTTTGTAAAAAAAAAATATGTGCTTTCACAATAATGCAAATGAAAAGGTTGTTCTTTTTCTCCTATTCCATACCTGAAACAGCATAAAACTCAGGGGGTCCTCTGGCTTTTCATAGACTAAGTTTTCAGTGATCTGCTGAGAGAGCATAAGACATCACATTTTGGTTCTAAGAGGAAGTCACACAGCTAGGTTATAACTGATCAATTATACCAATGAACCTAACATATACCATAGCATTTTGAAAAAAATTAAAGTACTTCTACAAAGTGACAACTTACTTTCTTACTACTGAAAAACTTAGGCAGATTAAAATAAAATTTGGAGGAATAAAAATTTAATAATAAATAGAAATGAATATTTCTAGTAGTTTCTAAGGTGATAGAGGTAGTGAGAAATTTTGGAGAAGTTTTTGGTTAGATAATTGTGATCTTGCTAGATTGATAAATTAATAAATTTTTATTTGCTTTGAAGAATAGTCAAAGAAAAGACTTTTAACTAAAAATTGAAAACACAATGTAACCTTGTATAGCCTTTCTTCTGAGACATTTGATTCTAAAGGGTGAAAATTATGTTAATTATGTTGCAATATTAAAGGAGATTTGAATACATACTTAGCAACTACTTTTTTTTAAAATTTATTTTTGATTTTAGGTGGACACAATACCTTTATTTTATTTATTTATTTTTATGTAGTGCTGAGGATCAAACCCAGTGCCTCACATGTGTCAGGTGAGTGCTCTACTGCTGAACCATAGCCCCAGCCCCACAACTAATTTTAAACTCACAATTAAAGAGAAGGATTGAGAGATTTACCTGGAATATTTGCAGAATCTGGTGCTTCTCCATGTACTGAAGTGAAACTTGATAAGGATCTTCATAAACTACAGGAGGCAATCTCTTTTTATATATACCTTGTTTGGACATATGAGAACTCTTTTCTTGTTCAGATTCTGAATAATCATCCTGAAATTGAAATATACCCCCAAGGAATTTTTAATAAATTTAAAAGCTCCAGCAATTTTTGCTGTTGTCACAACCAGTGAAATCTAATACTGACAGTATCTTAACAGCAGCAGTCAGAGAAATGTGTCTTAGCTCATCTTCCGAGCAATATAGTATACCTAAAGTCCTGGTGGATACCTTAGATATTTCCAATCTACTTCAAATACTGTCCCTTCACAGGGATCTCCAATCAAATCCAAATCTCTTCCCTTAGTAGAAATCTAGAGAGGGGAGGTAACTAAGTGCCACAGAGTTAGTAACAGAACAGAATTTGAAACTTAGGTTTTCTAAATCCTAGTTCCTTGATCCTTCCTGAATGGCCTTAAGAGTAGTAGAGGAAGAAATTCATCTCTTCCTATTCTTTTCCTGCCCTTCCTGAAACTTATAAGTCACACACAACATGTAGGTTTATTCCTCATTCTTGATCCAACATGTGTCCTCTCACCCCTTATCTCTACCCTCATTCCACAGGCCTTTCTTCCCCTCCACCCACTGTAGGTATCAAATGCCCCTTTAACCTACAGGACTGAATTCTGCGGATTCATATTTTTCTTGAGTGACGTCATCAGATTTAGTTGAGATGGAGGGCAATCTTTGGTAAAAACTTTGGTCTTTTGTTGGAAAATGCCCAGTGAATCTGGTATCAATTGGGTAGTGGGATTGCGTAGGGCTTATACCTCCTTTTTCTATTTCACTTGAAAGTGCGGATTTGAGGTATATTTCGCTATCCTCAAATGTGCAGGGCTGTGGTCTGTCTTGAGCTTCTTTGTCATCTCTGAACTGGGGTAATAATCCGTACTCAGACCCATAGGAATACTGGTAGTCTTTAGGGTAAGCCTCTTTGTCTATAAGGTGTTCAGCCTGGTCAGGTCTACTGTAGTCATCCTTGCCAACCTTAAGCTGATCAGCTTGGTCAAAAGTCTGCTGTTCAGCTCCTTCAGTGGCTTGGTGGTCAATATTGTAGAGGGTCTTTACATAATCGACTTGATCAACTTTCTCAGAAGTTTTCTCAGCTAGGCTGTCCTCCTGTTTAGAAGTTCTTGGATCAAATGGTATGGACAATCTATCGCCAGTCTGCTCATAAGTTCTTTCCTCAGTCTGGCTGGACATTCTGTGGTCAGTCTGTATGGAAGCTCTTCCTTCAGCCCGGTCGGCCTGCTCAGAAGCTCTTTTCTCCTCCTGTCTAGAAGCTCTTTTCTCCTCCTGTCTAGACGAGCTTCTTTCAGTCTGTTCAGAAGTTCCTTCCTCAATCAAGCCAGGCACCTGGCCATCAGTCTCCCCAGCTGCTACATTTTCAACTTGGTCGTATGCCTTGTCATCAGTCTGTTCAGATGATTGTAGGTCAGCCTGATCATATGAGCTATTCTCCAGGTGTTCAGAATCTTTTTGGTTACTTTGGTCAGACATGAAGGGTTCAGGCGCTCCAGATACTCTTTGGCCATTTTGGTCAGCTATTCTGTAATGAGTTTGTTCATATGCCTTCTCTTGATCCTGGTTCTCTTGGTTGTCTTCTTCCTGGTTATCAGTGTGGCCAGCAGTTGGGGGTGTGGCTGGGCTTTCTTCTTCCAGGGATTCTCCTGGATCCTCTTCTTCAGGAGCGTCCATTCTCTGAGGTCTCCCTGACTGGTCTCAGTTGCCAGGCGCCGTGGGCGGGGCCGCTCGGTTGTCCTGGAGCCCTTCGTGGAGTCAGGCTTCCTTGGGCTTTGTTCCTGCCTGGGCTCCTGCCTGGGTGGGCTGGTGAACGCCTGGCTGCAGGGCTCTCTGCAGGACTGCAGGGCTGCTGACTGCAGTGGGAAGTCCAGCAGCGCCTTCTACTGAGGAGCGAGACTGCCACTCCCAGGCAACCAGGGCTCCCCAACCATCTCCAGCACTCAGGCCTTGGGGCCCATGTGGATGCCTCCAGCGTACCCGCGGAGGGCCGCAGTGGTGTGAGAACTAGACCTTCAGGTGCCACTTCTCTAATTCACACCCCCACACCGCATGGGGGCCACGTACCTGAACAGAGGTTAACATTACTATCCAATCAAAGTCCTGCTTCTCCTAATTCTGAATTCTGTCTTACTAGAGTTGTGTTGCACGGAGTGTTAGTGTTGGGCACCGTGCTAGTAAATCTAAAAATGCTAGAATCTAAATGTTATTCTTTAGATTCTTATCGATATTGGAGTGATGTGGCCACATGTTCTTCTTTAAAAATGTTTTTTTTAGCCTTGCCCTGTGGTGCATGCCTATAATCCCAGCTATTTGGAAGGTGGAGGATCACAAGTTCGAGGCCAGCCTCAGCAATTTAGCCCTAAGCAACTAAGTGAGACCTGACTCAAAATGAAAAATAAAATGGGCTGGGGATGTAGCTCAGTGGTAAAGTGCCCTGGGTTTGATCCCCAGTACCCAAACAAAACAACCCCACCCCCCCAAACAACAACAACAAAAAAAAGAATTTATTTTTCAGTACTATCTTTACAAAACAGTGCCAGTGCTATTTTCAGTGGTACCAGGATGAGTTTAGATCTAACTCTCATGTTACCAAAATATTTGGATTTTTTTCTTTACAGTAAAAGAATGTAGAAGGGAGAGTTTTTGTCCTTCCACTCCTTCTCTGTCTCATGGGACAGGTTAGCAGCTATTTCCCATCCCCTTTGTAACAAGCATCCCCTTTGGAAACTCAGGCCCTGAGGTGTTTTCTTGCTGAATTGGATGGGTAATTTATGCCTGGACCACCAGACAAATGCGAGGAGATCCAGTGAGAATGGATTCTAGAATCACACATTCAGTGATCTTAGAGCAGAAAGAAGGTTTAGGAGGAGGCCAAACCAGAGTTCCTGAAAGGAGGGAGTAAAGAAAGTAGAGGAAGATACTAGCAGGAATATTTAACAAGTAGAGAGTTTGCATTCATAGTGGTGGCCACAGTGGGGTCCGATTTTGAGATTTGGCTCCTTCAAAGTCAGCAGGCCCTCTATAATCAGGAGCAGGATAGTAAAGAGGTGGTGATTGATGAGACATTTTGCTTTGATTTTCTAAAGCCTAGAATCACTGAGGCAGGCCATAGATGGTTAGGCATTCTATCAATAGGAGTTTAATTGCATCTAGCAACTAGAGATGAGGTTTAAAATCTAATCACAAATAGTTGTGATCAATCTATATGTGGTAACCTTGGTACCATACTTAGGAACAGAAAGGGATCACTGGGTACACTGAAATAAAATCATTTATGTAACCATGCCTAGAACATAACAGGTGCTCAAGAAGTGTTTATTGAATATACATTTATGAATTATCTGCCATTTTTATTTATTTAAGATTGTGTGGAGCGAATGAACACTGTGTTTAGAGTAAGATATAAGCTATGGTTTGCAGTTTCAAAGACATTGGTATTGGCATGGGTATAGCAGCAGATCTGTTTTTTTCATTTTATAATTTAAGTATAATCATTGTAGAAAAGCAAGAAAAATAAGCATAAAGGAAAAAAATGTTTCCAGCATCCAAGTAATTTTTATTAATATTTTGATGTATATCCTTCTGGAATTAGCCTGATGCAAATCCATATGCCTGTATCTTAAATATGTATATATTTTACAAAATTATTCTTCATTTATTTGAAATCTTTCTTTTTTTAACATAGGTATTTATTAATTTCACTCTGAGCATTGCTTTTGCTGCATCCCATGTTTCTGGTGTGATGTGTTTTCATTTTCATTCATCTCAAAGTATTTTCTCATTTCCCTTTTGATTTCTTTGACAAATTGTTTAACATTTTGTTGTTTAATTTCCAAATATTTGTGAATTTTCCAGTTTTCTTTTTGTTACTGATTTCTCCTTTGTCCTACTAGGTTCACAGAAGATAAGTTGCATGATTTCAATTGTTTAAAATTTATTGTTTTGTGACCTACTGAATGGTCTATCCTAGAAAATGTTCTAAGATAGGAATGTGTATGTACACCACATTTTCTTTATCCATTCATCTATTTGAGGGCACCTAGGTTTGTTCCCTAGCTTTGCTATTGTGAATTGTGCATCTATAAAGAAGAATGACTTTATGGCATTTGCCCGTAAATGGGTGGAACTGGAGACTATCATGCTAAGTGGAATAAATCAGTCCACAAAAGTCAAAGGTCACATGTTTTCTCTGATATGTGGAAGCTGATCCAAAATAAAGTGGGGAGGGGATAAAAAATAAAACATCAGTGGAGTAGATGAAGGGGGAATAAAGAGAAGGGAGGATGAGGGACAGGATATGGAAAGACAGTGGAATGAATCTGACCTAACTTTCCTACATAGATAATATAATATACCACAATGAATCTCACCATCATGTATTTCCACAAGACATTAATTTAAAAAACATGTAAGTAAATAGCAGTAAGATCAGTACACCAGAGGGAAGGGAACGGGGGAGGGAGAAGGAGAGGGAAAGGAGAAGTACTGAGAACTGAATTAGAATGAATTATGTTGCGTGCTTTTATAATCATGTCAAAAATGAATCCTAATGTTAGGTCTAACTAAAAATAACCAATTATTTTAAAAAGGCATTTAACTGTCCTTGTAAAAAAAGTGTGCATTTGCTATTGTTGGGTGGAATATTCTTTATGTGTTTTTTTGGTCTAGTTGGTCTTTTTCAGCAAGTCTTATATTTGCTTATTGGTCTTTTTTTCTAGATTTTCTATCCATTATTGAAAGTGAGTGAATTTCCAACTGTTTTTGTAGAATTGTTTCTCTTTCTCCCTTAAAGTCTGTCAGTGTTTGTTTCATATATTTCGGAGCTCTGCTGTTTGGTGCAATATGTTTGTAATTACAATATCTTCTCGTGTAGTTGAACCTTTTTGTCAATATATAATGTACTTCTTTGTCTCTTGTAACAGTTTTTGGCTTAACTTCTATATTTTATCTATTAGTATAACAACTCCAGCTCTCTTTTGGTCACTGTTGGCATAGGATATCTTTTTCCATCCTGTCACTTTCAACCTATTTGTATCTTTGGAACTAACAAGATTCTCTTGTAGACTGCATATAGCTGGATCATGTTTTTGTTTTTTCTTTTCTTTTCCTTTTTAAAAAATTCATTCTGTCAATCTGTCCCTTTTCTTTGGAGAATTTAATTACTGATGAGGAAGGACTTTCTTCTGCCAGTCTACCATTTGTTTCTATAGTTATATTGTTTGTTTTCCTATAGTTATATCTTTAATTTCTCTACCACTACCTTCTTTGTGTTTAATAGATTTTTGTAGTGTACCATGTTGATTCTTTTCTTACTCCTTTTATGAATATAATTTTTATTATTTTCTTTGTGGTTACCAGGGAATTACAATTAACCTCTTAAACTTGAAGCCACTTATTTTTAATAGTGGATTCAATAGTATACAAAACTGTTATATAGCTCTATTTCTCCTCTTTTAAGTTGTCACAAATCACATCCTTATACATTGTGTGTCCATTAATATAGATTTGTAATTATTGTTTTGTGCATTTATAATTCAAATCATATAAAAAAGAGAAAACCAAATATATGAAAACCAAATATATGATAACACTGGCTTTTGGATTTACCTACACAGGACTCTATATCAATGTTATTTTCTTCATATAGCTTCGAGTTGCGATCTAATTGTTTATACTTGAAGGCCTTTCTTTAAAATTTCTTGTATGACAGGCCTACTATAGATTACATTTCTCAGATTTGTTTACCTAGGAAAGTCTTAATTTCTTTTATTTTTTAAATGATAGTTTTGCTGAATGTATTTTTAGCAAAACAGTTTTGTTGACAGTATTTTCTTTTAGTATTTTAAATATTTCATCCTGCTGCCTTCTTGTCTCCATGAGTTCTGCTAAGAAGTTGTCTGTTGATCCTGAAGGTTCTTGTGTGGGAGCCACTTCTCCTTTGCTGCTTTCAAGATTTTCTTTCAGATAGTCTGACTTTTACAGTAGAATGGATAGGACATAACTTTCCTATGTTCATACATGAATGCACGACCAGTGAAACTCCACATCATGTACAACCACAAGAATGGGATCCTCCTAATTAGAATAAGTTATACTCCATGAATGTATAATATGTCAAAATACACTCTATACTGTCATGTATATCTAAAAAGAACAAATAAAAAAATAAAGACTACTATAGATAACTATGTTACAATTAGAAGATTTTTAAAAAATTTACATTGTATATCCAATTTTTCTCTTTTATTATTGTCTTTTTGCCTTTGTGGAAAACCATTTGACTGGATATAGTTGAGTCTATTTTTGGACACTGGATTTAATTATTTTATATTATATTCCTGTTTTTATACAAATATAACTCTCTTAAGTATTATTAAAAAAAAAGAAAATCTGACTTTTGAACATTTGATAGTGATGTGCCATGGTGCATCGTTTTGTGCATTCTTCTTGGCATTATTGTTGAGATTCTTGGATATGTAGATTTGTTTCTTTTATCAAAATTGAGAAGTTTTTAGTCATCATTTCTTCAAATATTCTGTTTATGCCCCTCCCCCATTTCTGGAGCTCCCATTGTGTGTATGTGGTATACTTGATCATGTCCTGTAGGTCTCTGAGACTGTTTTCATTTTTCTTCATTCTTTTTTTTTCTGCTCCTTGGGCATAATATTTTTAAG